GTTTCTTTTTTTTTTCAAATATTAATGTCGCCGTGAAGGAGATTTATTTAATATTCAGAGCCTGCAGCATCGAAAGTCGTTAGCACCACCTGGTCGAATGCCAACAACGTGGGAGGAGTATGTGGGGGCAGCGCCTGGTGCAGCGCCACCTCTTGGAAGGGCACAGATCTTGAAACAGAATGAAAAGCAATTCACTGCTCTTATTGGAATGGTGAGTTCTTTGCTCCTGCACGATTTCCTTCAAGTCATTGATCCTCTTATTGCTTTTTACGCATCAATTCGATCGGATTGGTGGTGATTTTCCATGGAACCACATTTAAAGTGAGTCCCATGGCGGCATTCTAGTGTTGTTAACAGGGATATTGGTTCTTGTCAATGTGATGAGATTTGAGAAATCGATGAACTCGTGAGCTAGGCTTCCAATTGCTGGCTGATGATAGAGAATTTGTTCTTTCTTTCAAGTATGGCTTATTCGGGGTTGGACGCACGTCTAGGGGAGTTTCTGCTAGTCACCTCACCAGCACATAGCCGCTATTCTAGGCCAGTCAACTGCTACATTCCGTTATTTGAGAAGCTCCTAGTACTTGTCTTTTGTGCCGCTGTGTTGTCCTCTTATTGCAATTAACAATAGTCTCTCACGAATATCGTAGCTCCTGTTTAATGTATTACTGTTAACGGCACCCGTTACTGCCTCCTGGACTGGTCGCGCTCCAAATCCTGAAATCCTGCCCCCAGTAGTGGTTACTATACTTCCAAATTTGGTTGGTGATAGTAACGTTTGACTTGTTCAGTTCAATAAACTTATCATCGAAACCAAACCTCTCGAAAATAGATTACTTTCAAGTTTTTTTTCTTTGAAGCGTTGCAAAAGCCAATGATGTCAAAGCTCATGACAGCTGGTGGGTATAATTTCTATTTCCACTGAAAAAATACTGGTCGGCATTGTAAATAATTGTTCATACGGTTTATTATTATTCGAAAACGTTTCTTATCGTTCTATGGAATAGGCTTTCATATAACTCTCGGTTGATCAAGATAGGGAATGATGCTTTTCTTGTACTTCCATGATAGTAATCAGCACGGTTTTCAGAGCGAAGATTTCCCAATGGGAGTAGATGTTCTGCTTGATATTCTTGAGATTGTCGCACCATTCAAGCACCTCGACAAATTGCGGCGTTTTTGTGAAGCGAGACTTCCACCTGGTTTTCCAGTACGCGTAGGTATGTCCTTGTTTCTACAACATTTCTACACATTGTTCAGGTTTTTTGAAGCAATTTTGAATCTGCTAACAAGTGTAGACAACTTTTATCTTTGTGGCAAAATCTTCCATTTGATTTCTTCTTCTTCTTCTTCTTCTCCTTAGCGTTAGTCCCGCGCAGTCGCAGGGTCCGCTGTCTTTGTCAGTCGTCGCCACTTCGCTCTGTCTAGGGCATCTCCTGCAGTGGCCGTGATTTCACCTAGGTCCTTCTTGATCACATCCTTCCACCTCTTCTTTGGGGCTCCTCGCGGTCGCTTGCCTTGCACTTCGAAGTCCATCGCATTCCTTATCGGGTGGCCTTGCGGTCTTCTCAGCACATGTCCATACCACCGCAGTCGTTGCTCCCTCACCTTTCAGCTGGACAGGGGCAGTCTGCATGACCGCTCTGACATCCTCGTTCCTGACCCTGTCCAGTCGCGTCCAGCCGCAGGCCCACCTCAGCATCCTCATCTCAGCGGAGTGAAGCTGCCTTTCGTGATTCTTGTTGACGTAAGCAAACCAGCCCTTTTGGCGCATCGGCTGGGACCGTATGCTGAATGTTGGGGAGGGGATGGTGTCCCCGACGGTGGACGACAACCACTTCAACGCGGTCCTTAGAACCGCCACAATTTGGCGCTTACCTTAGAACTAAGCCTTAAAGAGAGGACGGGTCCGTCCCCTCTCCTAGGCTTAGTCCAAGGGTGAGCAGACCGGTCCTTCTGGCGAAGCTACTGGACCAGCTGCACCACTTGCGTCAGTACTCTCCTATCGTACCAACCGAGTTGAAGTAAACCGTCGACCGTTGGGGACCCCATCCCCTCCCCAACATTCAGCATACGGTCCCAGCCGATGTGCCAAAAGGGCTGGTTTGCTTACGTCTTCTTTGTTCGTGGAACATGCACTCGCTGCCGATAGGAGCATCGCAGGCCTTACCACTGTTCGGTACACCTTCCCTTTGAGCGCTCTGGAGCACCTTCGGTCGCAGAGGATTCCAGTGGACTCCTCCATTTCATCCATGCCGCGTTGATCCTCCCCATTACTGCCTGGTCCACACTGCCGTCGGCCGCCAGATCACTTCCAAGGTATCGGAAGTCCTCTACTCTTTCGATGCTTTCACCATGCCCGTCCATGATCGGCTCTGCACCCTCTTCAGAACTCAGGAACTTGGTCTTCTTGACATTAGCCGTAGTCCGCCTTCTGCCAGGACCTTCTGCCATTGCTGCACCTTGGCCTGTAGTTCCTCTCTACTATCCGCTATCAGGGCGATGTCGTCAGCGTAGAGGATGGTCTTTAGCGGTCCTTCCATGAGCCCTTTCACCAGGACATCTAGTGTCAGGAGGAAGAGGAACGGGCTCAGAGCCGACCCTTGGTGCACCCCAACCGTGATGTCCACTTCCTTCGTTAGGCCGTGTGGGGTGCGTATAGCTGCCTTCGCCCCATCGTACATATCCTTCACCAGCGAGACCAGGTGTTCTGGCACGTTCCGTTCCCTAAGCGCTCTCCATAGTACCGCTCGTGGTAGCCGGTCGAACGCCTTCTCCAGGTCGAGGAAGGCTAGGTAGCAGGGTCGGCGCTTTTCTCGATACTTCTCCATCACTTGCCTTGCGATGAAGATGGCATCCGTTGTAGACCTTTCGGGCATGAACCCGAACTGTTCCTGGGAGATGGGGACCAGCTCCCGCAGTCTTCGAGTCGACCAGTCGCTCGTACAGCTTCATTGTATGAGCAGTCAACTTGATCCCGCGGTAGTTGGAGCAGTCCATCGCGTCACCCTTCTGCTTGAAGATGGGGACGATAGTGCTTGTTCTCCAGGCATCTGGCATCCTTCCTTCCGCAGTTATGTTGTTGAGGAATCGTGTGAGCCATCCTTATCCCGTACTCACCGAGCGCCTTCCATGCCTCGATTGGCACCCCATCTGGACCAACCGCCTTCCCAATCTTCATCCTCCCAAGTGCACACCTAACCTCATCCTCAGTCCAGAGTGCGATGGGACCAGCTGTGGCCTCTGCCCGTGAGTTGTTCTCGTGGGGGAACTCCTCGTTCAGAAGTGCACTGTAGTACTCTTCCCACCTCCTCTTGACTTCGGCTGGCTTCCTTAGGATGACACCATCTCTGCCTTTCACACTTTTCACCACCCTGATGTCTTGGGTAGCCCGATGCCGGGCCTTGGCCAGTCTGAAGACGAACTTCTCTGCGTTTCTGCTTTCCAACTTCTCGTACAAGGCGTCCATCTCCGTGTTCTTCGCCTTGGCTACAGCGGCCTTAGCGAGCCTCTTGCAACTCCTGTAGGTAGCGAGGTCTTCGGGGCTCCGGGTCTTCTGCCAGCGCTTGTATGCTTCCTTCTTCTGCTTCACGACTCGCTGGACTTCCTCGTTCCAGAACCACGCTGCCTTGTCTCCTCTGATTCCACCTCGGGTCTCGCCCAGTACCTCCTTGGCACATCGCAGGATGGTCTCAGCCGCTTGCTCCATGTTCGCTGTATTGGCCCGTTAGGATCTTGGGAGACCAACTTCCATTATCCTTCGTTTGAGGTCATCTTTCTCCGCTTGGTGCAACTTCCACCACCGGATTCTCCGCTCGGTTCTAACCCTTGTCTTCTTCGGGAGGTCCATGGCAATGTCTGCCAGGAGGGGCCTGTGCTGCGGAGCCAATTCCTCGCCAGGGAGTACCTTGATGTCTTTTACCGATCTCAGGGATGATCTTCTTACGAGCACATGGTCGATTTCCGTATGTCGTCCCCCACTGCTGTAGGTCACCTTCTGAGTCTCCCCTTTTCGCGAAGAACGTGCTGCAGATTGCCAGATCGTGGGCCGTAGCCAGGTCCAGGACCCTCTCTCCCTCGGCGTTCCTCACTCCTATCCCTCTACCTCCGTGCACCCTTTCCCGGCCTCTCCTGTCACTGCCGACGTGGCCATTCAGATCACCTGCTACGGTCAGGTAATCGCCTTCCGGAATCGTTCTTATGGCTTCGTCCAGGCTCAGGTAGAACTCGTCCTTCTCACTTTCGGGGCATCCGGCTTGCGGTGCGTACACGGAGAGTATGGTCCAGTACCCCTCCTTCGTGTCTATCCTCACAGCCATGATCCGATCGCTGATCCTGTTCACAGCGGAGACATAGTCCTTGAGCGACTCCGCTACCGCTATGGCCACACCGTTCCGCTTGGTGTCTTCTCCATTGTAGTAGAGCTTGACACCTTCCCCGATTTCCCTGGCCTTAGCACCTTTCCATCGCGTCTCCTGAAGGCATAGGACTTGGATATTCCTGCGCGTCATCAGATCAGCAACCTCTCGGGACTTCCCAGTTAGCGATCCTACGTTCAGAGTCCCTATTCGAACTAGCTTCTTTGGCCGAGGCCGTTCACTCCTCGGTAGCCCTCGCATACTGACCACAGAACTCGGGCGAGGGTTCTGCGCGCCACTTCCGGGTGACGTCCTAGCTTTATCACTGATATCTTTTTCGACTTTAGACATGTTTTGTGTGACTGGGGTGTTCATCAGCCGGCCTGTCAACCTGGGCCTGACGCTGGTACTAGAACCATTTTTGCAATTTTTTGCAAGGCATGGTTTACAGCCTCGGCAGGGATCGAACTCGCGGTTTTTCGGAGGTGCAGACATGAGTCTAACCTCTTAACCACTCGGCTATCCCTGCCTAAATCTTTCAATTTGAGTTTATTCTGTCTCCAATCGTGGCTCAAGGAGGGAAACGATTTTTTTATTCGGACGATTTTGTGTATTTCCGAGCGTTTTCATAGGACGTCAAGTTCACTTCTGTGCGACAGCTGACATCCCAACGTCCATAGCCCCTTACAATGTGTCATGGCCACATTTTTCTAAAATTAGGAACATAGCGGGGAAAAAACTGCGGTTTTGATGCATGTCTTTCTGCCCTAAATTTATTGAAACTTTTTGATTGATTCCTTTCCAGAGATTCCGTTGCTGCCCACGATATCGGCGAAGGTCACCTTCCAAAAACTTCAGTTCATGAATAATCTTTCGGACAAGATCTTCTTCATACCAACGTCGTATCGCGAAGATCCAACCAGATTCCCAGATTTGTAAACGCGCAAATGCTACAAGAAATTGTAGCACTACTCGCATCATACTCTGGATTTCAAACAGTTCTACATGCAGCTACCGGATGTTCCAGTAAGTGCAATGAACATGTTTATTAAGCCAACGCGTAGAGTACTCTCTATTTTGGTTCCCCTAGTTTCTACATTTTCTGCCCGACCCCATGTCATTTGGGATGCGTATTGTGGGTTCATACCGAATTGTGGATGCTTTTTGTCGTTAACCGGATTACGTTTCCAAATGTATATTGTACTGGTTAGGGTTCATGGTATCGTCTCGACCATTTCCATCCAAGCACCTTTTAACATAACAGTTACGATTAATTGTCTCACAGATATTATGAGGTCCATGGTATAATTGGGCAAATGCGTGGATGTAAGAATGGGTACGCACGTTACGTTGTTGAGAATTTTCAAGAGACAAGTGGTTGTTCCCAAATAAGCTAGCATTTCTTGGAGCCGGGCACGCGGACGGGTTTTGGTGTAGTGGGAAGTGTAGGCCGAAAACATACGACTATGCTCGGTGTGGGGTTCTAAGTGGGATATGTGTTAGACGGAATGAATGTGTGTTTACTAAGAACACGAAGAATCAGATGTTTAGCGTTGGTGCTCTTATCACCTTGATGCTTTCTTTAGGTTAGAACAAATAAGCATGGGGGCGCCGATTCCATTGTGGGTTTAGAACTTCATTGCATCGTACTTATTACGATGCGGGGGGTTTTTGAAAGTAGATTCGGTTCGATTTCTAATCACCACCGTGTTCCAGTCCAATTCCTTGTTGTATTTTCACATTATTTTTCGCCAGTGGGTGATTTCTGCGAAATGACGTTTGCCTACCGTAATTTAATCCATCCAAGGAGCATGCCAATAACTTTCCTATCTATCGTACCGCTGTGAACTAATCATACTGCTATAGGCCAATAACCATTTCAATTAGTTATTTTAGTGCGCGATGTTCACTTATTCAACTTTGTTTGCTCCAAATTGATTCTTTTCTTTCGACGAGATTATCAACGACAAAACATTCTAGTGCTGCTTTACACTCAATTGATTCCGGCTAATTGACTTATCGTTCCTGTACTTAAGATACATTTGAAATGATCTCGGGTGTAATGTATACTGCATCTCTAGTTTATATGGGATGGCAGTTTTGTATTTGTTGTGTTGATTGTAATACACAAAGTGTGTTAACGACCCTAACGGGTCGATTCACTGGATGCTCTGTGTTCAAGCTGTGCATGATTCTGTCAACCCTGTTCTTCTTCAATACGAGTTCGAATAATTGTAGCGCGATTGTTTTATTTTTACCAAGGTTTCTTTTTTTCTGTATTTTTTCCGGGCATCGAAAGGTTCTTCACGCACCGATTGGCTGTTGTTGCATGATTGTATTATATCGTCTTATTTCGTGCTAGTCATTTCTTTGTTAGCTCAGGCTTCGAATGCTTACCTTTCTCTTAATCTTGTGTAAATTTTAGAACGCATTTTATATGAAGTTTTCAAAAACATTTTCTTGGAAATATATCCTCATATCACAGAATGTCACATGTGTAGGATCTCTTTAAAGCTATGATAAGAATGAGCTCGCTGTGGAGTTAGGGTCAACCGTCCGTTGTACTAGGCTGAATAAAGGGATTTTGTGGGATTTTTGAAGGGGTGTGCATGTCCTGTGTGTTGGTGTGGTGAAAAGTGGTCATTGAAATTTCGAGGGCGAGGTTGCGGTGGTGAAATTGAGGGTAGTGTGATAGTA